GTAAATAGAAATATATACATTTCAAGGCTTCCGCTTATCAATTGATACAAAAAACGAGAAAAGTGAAACGAAATAAAATTCCACCTTGTTGCGTAAACCCTGTCGGCGATCCTGGCGTGCTCTTTCCGCAGATTCGCAGTGTGAGTGTTCGTATTTTCAGTCCGGCCATCTCTCGGCGGCCCCCATGGGCCCGTCGGGCGGGGTGAAGCACTCGTCGGGATTTTAAGCCGCTTATCTCTGTAGACCACCGGTGTTTCAGTCGGGGCTCGTTCTTGTTATAAGTACACTCGCCGCACAGAAAATTGCGTCAGGGCTCCCTTTCTGAACTCCTATAAGTGTACGTATCAGAGCGGTGGGCACATATAACTCACGGCAGTTGTATAAGTCGCATGATATACCTAAATATTAGTATATTTTTTGTACTATCCCCATGTCCCCATAGTGCGTGTCATGGTTCTTCAACAATTGATACAGTTATGTGGATTGCTAAATTTTATAACCGTGCGTTTTAATACGCAATAAAATGATTAAGACTACATATGCAAAATAAACATACATGATAACCATAAATATGCACATATTCTTAAGCACACACACACACACATATATATATATATATATATATATATATATTAGGGTGGTCCTTAATATGGACATTTTCGAATTTTCTTGCTCCCAAGGTCTTAAATGGTTCCAAATTGATAAAAAACAATTCTTTGAAAGTTTTAGCTCTTAATATTGTCTTTTAGATAGAGCGCAATTCAATCAAAGTTTTGTATGGAAATATATTTTGTATATATATATATATATATATATATATATATATATATATATATATATATATATATATATTGTATACTTCGTACTATGTTGTGTACATGCATGTATATAGTATTTCAGATGATAGAAGATATAATGACTCAAGCGTTCACCCAATTATTGAGGAAAAATTTGATTAGATTTATATTCTTGGAAATAAATTAACTACTTTTGAAAATCATTTATTAATTATATCATTGTCATTTATTAAAAACAAACAAAATTAGAATGATAGAAACCTTAAAAATATATCTATACTTTTATACTTATTATCCCATGGAAGTGGAATTTACCTTTCTTGCAGGCTTTTATGCTAAGAATTTTTATTTAAAAAGATACTATATGAAAGTTTTACATTTTTGATAAGCTTATAAAATATTTTTCCGGAAGGATCTGTAAACAATAAATTGACCATATTTATTGTATATTATTTAAAAACATTCTTCTATACCACTAAATAATAAATAGCCCGCTATAAATTATCGAGATATTCGGAAGTCGGTGTTATAGTTGCCTGCAATAAATCTATTGTACTAAAGCAAAAGATCTTTTGTGATCCTTTGAATTGTTGAACCTGCCACACAGGGCGATGTGTGAGAACATGTCTACTCGGCCTTTACAGGTTAGTTCCGGAATCAATAAATAACCTCAAGGTAAAAGAATATTATTTTTCAATTTGAAACAGATTGGTTGCAGTTATTTTTGATGTGACAAATACTTCGATGCGGTTGCATGCATGTTGAGATAGATGCGATTTTTTTGAAAAAAGAGAAAGAAGAAATATATGTGACTAAAATGACAGTGTAGTGAAATCTATTATGAAATAAATTATAAAAAAATGTTTTTATTATTGTCTATATCAAAACTATTAATTCTACGCTATTACAAATATTTTTTTCATTATTATTATTTTATTTCGGCAACATATTGCTCGAAGCGCGGTCGAACCCAGGACCTCTGATTCTGGTCCAAGTCGTTCTAGTCATTTACCTACGAGCAAAGCCCTGGACAAACTCAATTATGAACAATAAAATAGATTACTATGTGAGTATATTTCTTGCATATTATAAATAACACTTAACTTACTCTTTTTAACAAAAGGTGGACTTATCATTGTTTTTTAACTATCTCAGTATAAATTTTATAATCAGTATACTTCGTTATTGAAATAGTCAATTAATTACTAAATGAAATTTATATGAAAGTTGCACTGCTAATGCTGTTATTTAAAGAAATGAAAAATTAATTCTTACACAATATTTTTAATATAGAAAGAATACAACTGACATTTTCCAGATTTTTTTTTTATTTTTGTAAATATTTTAGATAAGTTTTGAAAGTCTACATATAACTTACAATAATAGAGAACTACAATTCGGACTATTTGAGCACTGATACTACTGCTTACAAAATCAATTATACACATTTTGCTTACAATAGGTTTTGATTAAGAAAGTTATTGCAATTTATTGATCATATTCCAATAGTAATATTGTTCACGCATATTTTCCACCTGCTGAAATTTATATTAAATTGTTTTTACCAACTTCATAAAATATTTTCACACGGAGCAATATATAAACACGAGTAGAACAACATATTTATGAGTTTAATATAATTGTGAACGGTTTTTATTCATGCGTAATTGTACTTTCTTAAATTATTAGAAAACAATATGATAAATATAAAAACACCCAATATGTTAGATGTTTATAAATAATTTTTTAAGTTTTCTTTATTATTAAGTATTTATAATTGTTGTTATATTAATAAATTTTACATTGATTTTTGGTAATTTCTTTATAAATTGCTACAGAATGCAAAATTTAATAGAAGATTTAAAGTTTCAAAATTTAGTAAGAAATTATGCATCTGTGCCGATTTTGGAACACGAAAGTACATTTGTTTTTATTTTCCGAATATTTGAATCTGCAAACTGGAACTGAAGACTTACAACAAGTAAAATCTAAATTTTACTACTCCTACATCAAATATAATACAAGATGTAAAGTTGAGTTTATAGATTAAAACAATACTGATAGAATAAAAGTTACTTTTTATTACGCATCACTTAATTTTAAAGTTTATACATATTAGTCAAGTTTTCATTCAAATTAGCCAAGTATTTAAAAAGCATTTAACAAGCAAAGCACTTGTAGTTTCCATTCATAGGTAAAAGATAATAATACTGCTATCAGTGCTATATATTAACTTTCCGAAGGATAAGTTTATGCTTTCGGCAAAAAGTCCGATTTTGTAACTTTATGTTCAAGTCATTCTGAATAGTAACACCTAAATTGGAAAGTATTTGTGCAGTAATACCAAACCTAACGATGGGGATACGTTTCATCAGAGTAGAGGGTAATGCAAAACAGCGCTAAACGAGGCTATCTTTACATGGAAATATTTGGGTTAGGGAAAGATGGCTAGGAAATTGGTTAGGTATTAAATTTAAAAAGTATTGTTTTTTGATAAAAATAAAACCAAATTTTTATTTAAATGAAATTCTCAACCCAAAGTAATACCACATTATTATTTCTTGCAAAAATAAAAATAAAATATAAATAACAGAACGAATATTTTTGAAAAAAAAAAAACAAATAAAATTCTAAGTCAGTCATATTTAGTTGTTTGCCGTTTCCTTTCGCGAAAAGTACTTCATAAACGAATAGAGGATCTTTTGAGCTCCTGTCAAAATTCGGATCATTTCCAATGACTTGATCCATTATTTTATTTATGGTAGACAAACTCTTTTCTACAAATCCCATCGAGAGTTCTTTTTACTCTTCCTGTGAATTACTGCTGTCAACATTTTTGTTTTCTTCTTGATTAGTTCATTCCTTGAGCTCATCATTCGAAAAACTGCGCTGCTTCTTGAATTATTTCTTCGACAGCTTTCACATTTACCCTTCCAAAACCTGGGTCGAAATAAAAGAGCGCTAAACGAAACAGCGTTAAGCGGGGTATTACTGTATGTAAACCAAAATGCAAAAGCCATTTGAAGTACTCGTGTTGGTTGGTTTTGAGAAGAGAAAGGCTAAGCAGTTTTTAAAATTATATGGAAAGTTTACTTATTTATGGGCAATTCTAGGTAAAGGTATTAAAAATGTTGAAAATAGACTACCGTATATTTAAACTGGCAGTGACTTTTTTGTTGATTTATATTTCGATTTGATTGTATATTTATTATAATATAACTAGCAAACCCGACGAACTCCGTTTCGCCACCAGATGGTTTCGTGAGAAAAATGAGGAAATTTTTTGTTTGTTTTATGAAAATGAAATTTATCCTGCAAACACTAAGCGATTGTCTTTGAAACTTGTTATTGCGAACGCAATGCGAACTGGAAATTGCAATCGTTTGAAGTCAAACGGAAGACCAGTCGGAATCATTGGTATGTCACCAAATCGCCAGCAATTTTTGATTGAATGGTGAAATTCAGTGCGTGTGCATCATTATTTTTTGCGGTAAGAATTGCTAGTTGACTTAACCAAGCATAATTCTGATAATTCTCACTAATGTCATTACTCGAATTTTTAATTACGGTGCGTGAAGTTCCAGCAGCTTGCATTAAGGCACGATGCTATGCACAACTAATTTTCTTAGCTATAAACCTTCCGGAGCCCGAGACCTTTCCAACGAATGCAAAATTGTCGAAATCGGTTTGTGCGTTCTGGAGTTATATCGTCAGGAAGGAAAACCTGACTTATTTATATATATAGAAGATATTATCTAGTATATTTTTTTATTAATGTATTATTACAGAATATAATACGATTGTAATACCAAATTTAGTTTCAAATACCCGATTACTAAAATTCATTAATTTTTATTTTAAATTTTGCGCCAATAACTTGAATGCCAAAAGCAGCGCCCTCACGTCTGAGCGAAGGACCCTTTAAGTATCCCTTCTGAACGTAAAAATCGGGAGAGAGAAATGAATACATCATATTCTAATCATATTCTAATATTATCTAAGATTGGCTCCTTAATTTAAAAATTTCACTCATAAATAAATAAACTTAACATTTTGATTTTACTTATACATGTGAACAGTGGAATACTTTTTAATAATATATATATATAAAATCTTTTCATAGATGGCACTACGAAATAAAAAGTCGCTTATAATTTTCGATCACATCTGTCAAAAAAAAACTATTATTTAGTTATCAGTTATTCGTGATTTTACATATTTGGTCCTTTTATTTTTAATAAGCCGCGTGAAATAATTATGTACTATTTATTTAAAAAATTATTACTTCTTAGAGATATTTATCATTGATTTTTTTCTAGAAAATTTGCATTAGTGCGAAGTCTAACAACTAGGGAATAATGAATGCAGAATCCTTGAAACTTTCAATAGAGCAATATGAAATACAGGTTTAATATTTGTCTAGCTCATTTTTTTAAAACTAGTCCTTATATTAAAACTTATTTGCTTTCGTCATGTTGTGAACTAAATTTGAATGAAAACATTCAAATTTATGTGTCAACATTGGTAACAGTTTTGCCACTTTGCTTTTTAACTTGCCAAGCCTTTAGTTTAACGAACAAACTTTATTAATATTGAAGCATTAAAGTATTCTCTCTAATTAGCAATTCTACTAATCGAAGAAAATACTGTCAGTATCTTCATATTCTACTAATGATATTACACCTTTGTTTTGAAATTTCACTAATAAATATTAATATATATATATATATATATATATATATATATATATTCATACATGCTTTGCCATTTTAAATTATTGTTTAAAACAGCTTTAATTTCTAATATTTCAGCTGGCTGGTGTAATGAAATCACTTGAAACAGAAAATGGATCAGGTAGATCTGATCTAATCGATTTAAAAGCTGATCTAGAGCAGTTGATACATGTATCAAAAGATTATCTGAAAGAATTATTAGAACAAAATATTGAATTAAATTCACAAGAAAATGAAATTGATCAGGAATATTCCAGTTTTATGGTAACTGAACTTGTAGAAAAAGCACCATGGTAAACCTCAGATTTGACATAATAATTCCAAGTTCTAACCATGTTTACCTCTGATTTAGAGTGAAATAGCTGCCTTAGATGAACCGAAAGAACAAAACATACCTATTTCTCCAAAACAAGGATTTGAAAATTTAAATGTAATTATTTTTAAGATTTATATTTTGTAAAATTGAATGAACAATATTTTATTTATTGATTTTATTATAGGATAATCTAGCGGGTATAATTGGAATGAAATGTTTAGTGAGTCACACACATAATTCTGGCCGCAAGGAAAAACATTTGGCGATGGTATCAGAAATATGCAGTTCTTCTGATGTGCAAAATATGGAAGACATTCAAGTATGTATTATATAGGTAAATGAAATTAAATAGTAATTGAATTTAATTCTAATAATTTTTACTATTCTGATATTTTCAACAAAATTGTTAAATAGTTGATTTATTTAGAAAATAACAAAAGTTCCAAATATTTGTTGGAATAAATTGAATTAAAATTATTTGAATCATTAAAAATGATTCGAATCAAATAGAGATCTCTATTTTGTCTGCATTTATATTTATCTTATTATTCATTATATTATTATATTGATGCAATTTTAAATCAAAACTTAATAATTTCATATATTAAAATCTATCTTTTATTAAAATATCTTTTTTACACAATAAACAAATTTAAAACACATTGCAGAAATTCATTAGATGTTATTATATTATAATGTAGAATTATAAATTATTCTATTTTTCCAGATTAAATGATAATAATGATGAATTTGATGTTTTTGAAAATAGTTAATTAATTATTTCACATTTCATCTTATTAGATCAATAAATATATTTTTATTTTCAGGTAAAGGTCATGTTTACACATCCAACTTTGCAAGAAATGCTTCCTTGCCCATATTTTTTAAATGGTGATTGTAAATATGATGCAGATGAATGTCAATATTCACATGGAAAAGTTGTTTCTCTTATAAATCTTCAAGATTATGATAAACCAGATTTTTCAAGAATTGAAAATGGTGATAGTGTGTTAGTAAAACAAACAAATCAGTTATGGAGCAAGGCAACTGTTACAGATATTGAGGATAATATGTTAACAGTATCAAGTGATGGCAAAACTCATTGTATAGTTAACTTCGAAGACATTATCCCCATAGGTAAGGTAATATTATTTTTTTTTTATATCATAATATAAAATTATATTTCATTTTCTTAAGTATCAAATTGTATACTAAGATTGCATCAATAATTCTATTGACACAAACCTTGTGTTTAATCTAAAACATTCTTTATTTAGAGTGAATATTTTTATGTCCTAATATAATTTTAGATGCATTGCACAGCATAAAAATTTAAGTTTCAGAATTTTATAACTTCTGATATCTTGACCTGATCTTCATATATGACTCTCATCCTTTTTATGGTATTTATTGACAATTTATTTGCTACATGGAGACAAAAAAATAGTTTCTATTTTGTAGTTGATAATATTGTGTACTTATGGGAAATATTAAATAATGGTAAGGGGTTTATGTCAATTCAAAAGTAGCAATCAGTGAAATGATGGCATTGCTGTCAATTGCTTTTCGAATAAGAGAAACTTCTGATTTTCTGCAGTTTCTTGCCCTCCTTTAATTGATTATTGATTATTATTTTAATTGAGAATTGATATTATTTTGTTTTGCTATCTTCTCCTCCTCTGCCAAAATGTGACATGTAAATATATGGCAATGATACAAAATAACTAAGAATTGGATGCCAGTCGTTTTAGTCAAAACTTACGATGATGAATTGATTCCAATTTTCTTCAAAAAGATATTCTGAAAAAATGTATTTAATGCATTTTGAGCTAAAAGGCAATTAAAAAACAAGCACGTATTAAAATTGATTTTAACCAACGCTTTGCACAGTTTTTACATTTCCATTAAATGCCAAAACTTTATTTTCGAAATAAACAGTTGCAAATTTTAATTTATTTTCAACAATTTAAAAGTTGCTAAATCTCATTTTTCTCAATTGAGAGGTTAACGCAACTTCATGCAAATGCCATTTACGGTTACTTGTGCAAATGCATGCTGCTCTAGCGCTTGATAAGTGCCGGTTATTAGAATTAGCTGCATTATCAAAGTTTAAAACCAAACTCTTTAATATGATGGGCAGAAGTGGGTGTACAATACAAATGGAAATCAAGATCAAGAAAACGAAAGTGATGAGACTGTTGAAAAGAGATGAGAAACTGAGGATGTTAGCGAGAAACCAGTACTTGGAAAGCATCTTAACCGAAAACCGATACCTTACGAAAGAGCTCAGCTTTGAAGTGAGATTTCATTAAGAAGAAAGCACTACTGACTTGCCAAAGAAACAGATAAAATGATACATTTAGACTATATCTGTACAGACCAATTATATGGACCTAATGAAAGTTTTGTTATGCGATAATGTATTGTGCTGGAGAAGAATGGAGAGACAAGGTGACAAATAACAAGTTACTGCATAGATTGAAAGAGAAAAAACTATACTGAGTTTGGTTGTTCTAAAACGGGCACGACGTCATCAAAGGGAAATGAGAGATGGACTGAAAGCACTAGGATGATTAATAGCCGAGAAAATACCGGAAATTGAATGCCAAAGCACAAAACACAGAAGCATGGAATTAGAGATTAAAAAGAGTAGATGAGTAAATGATCATTTACATCATTTACATATATCAATATATGACGCACCACATTATATACCTGCCTCCACCAATAAAATTTATTTATATATATTTTCTACACATCTCCAAATTGAGGAATCTTTTTTCAATGGTATGAAAATAGTTATTCGATACTTATATTTGACTCTTAATATTATCCTGGTTTATTTAAATTTTATATCTGCAAGTAATCATTTTATGGAATATTCTGCAAAATATGAAAATCAAAATTGGGAGTCCACTCAGAGACAGTCCACACAGAGTAGAGCTACATTTTAAAATTGTTAGTAACGTGTTAATTTAACAGCGAAGTTTTTATACTAATTTTGTTTCATTACTCATACTCATAGCTCATACCACTATACGTACATGTTTATGACTAATACTCATCTCATATTCATTACGCGTACTGAATTTCGACAAATTTCAGACGAAAATTCTAATCGTAATCTGTTTTTTATCTTTTGAACTTAAAGTTCAAATGAATCAAATGTTATGTTCATTTATCTATGTGTTCTTTTCCGACAGTCTATGGTTTATTTATCTATGGTCTATGATGTCTATGACCCATAGATAATTCCTATCCATAACGTAAACTTTTATCTATGGTTCATCGCTTTAGTGCAACTTCAGATTCGACGCGAAAAAACTAAATATGTCAAAATGACATAATTTGACGGCAACGGATTTGACAGATGATTTCGTCACATTTTATTATTTCCAAATTATCTTCACAAAAATGTTACTTTACTTGTTTATTATAAGAGGTTTATAACTCATAGAAATGATGATTATAGTACAATATTTTAGAGAATGGACGTTGTTAAGTTAAATCAACCCCTTTTCTCCGTCTATCTGTCATGTGATTTTACGGTAGTTATATAATTTTTCTTATTAAATGAACGAGCTAATTTAGTTTGCAGTACTTAAAAATTCTGTTTATCATTAGTGTAGTTGAATGACAATGAAGGATGATAAAGATAAAATTGTTTCACCAAAAAATACTATGGCTGGAAGTGGTTACATAGACTCCCAAGAACAAAGGCAAGAATTAAATTGGAGGGAATTTGTATGTGGATGGGGTGCTGGCACAATGAATATTGCAATAACCTACCCTATTAATAAAGTTATATTCAGACAGGTTTGCGAATGATGTGTTATAATAGCACTATCTTCTTAAGTGGGTATCATATCATTGTATTCTAAGAACTAATTTGTAATCTAATTAATTTTTGCTTCTTATAACATTATAATTTTAATGTAGTATTTTATCATTCTCAATGATGATTTATATTTTTTGTCCAGAAATATTAAATGCTTATTGTGTCATTACTAATAAACTTATATTATTTGTTAAGAACTATTTTATTTTATGCTGGTCACTTGAAATTGTTGGCAGAATTAGTTGCAATAATTAATTTGAATACTCAAATGGAGAGTGTGCTTAACAGCTTACGGCTATTGATATTAAATGATTTTGAATTGATTAATGAGTAATATGATCTTAAACAACTTTTATTCAATAATATGTATTTCGTGCAAACATAAATACATATATATATATATATATATATATATATATATATATTTGGTTTGGAAAGTTGTTGAACATACTTTTTGATCTTTTACCCACTTAAGAGAATAAAACGGCTAGAAACTTTGTAATTCAATGTTTCTCCTTTTATAGATGCTTCATGGCGTAGGTATTAAATTTGCTGTTAAAGAATTGTATCATGAAGGCTTAATATTTTTATATAGAGGAGCTTTCCCTCCAATGTGCCAAAAAACTATATCCATGGCTTTAATGTTTGGGGTGTTTGATTATTGTCGCAAGCCATTATGCAATGAATTTGGCCTGAACTCATACTTTGCAAAAACAATTGCTGCAATTGTTGCAGGTACAACAGAAGCAGTTTTAATGCCTTTGGAAAGAATACAAACTCTATTGGCTGCACCTGATTATCATCAATACTTTAGAAATACACCTCATGCATTTGCCCATATATGGAAATATCATGGAATTCCAGAATTTTACAGGGGCCTGGTGCCTATATTATTTCGAAATGGTCCATCAAATGCTTTATTTTTCATTTTAAGGGAAGAAGCAATGCAGAAATTACCAAAATATGATACTGTGTTGTATAAAACATTTCAAGAGTTTTTTAGTGGTGCTGTTTTAGGTGTCTTTTGTAGTACGGTAACATATCCATTAAATGTTGTTAAAGTGTCTATGCAGAATCAACTTGGTGGTCCATTTCAAAATTTTATAACAGTTCTATTTCAAATATATAAAGACAGAGGAGGAAAGATCAGATATATTTATCATGGTTTAAGTTTAAACTGTACAAGAGCTTTTTTTGGATGGGGCGTGATGAACACTGCATATGAAGCTATAAGGAAAGCAGTGTATAGTATATAACTGACATACACTATTGTAGTATTCTCAAGAAAGTTTGATAGCACAGGTAGTAACATTTGCAAGAAATGTTATTACTCAGCAAATGTTTTGAAAAGCCAATTTTGGGATTTTTGCTTATATTTGAAATCTTTGTGTTATCAAATTGGGATTACTCCATGAATATTCATAAGCATTTCTGAACTTATATATATATATATATATATATATATATATATATTTCCAGACTTTGCTTTAGCAGCAGCTTCTATAATGATAACTCCAGACGTAGTTAAGCCTGTATGTTATTAAGTCATTAGTTTCACGGGCTATAATATGTTGTATCTTCTATAATATATATCAATCTTCTTGTACATAAATTCCTTCAATGAACAGAATATAACATTGTTATGCATGAAGGGATATTATATAAATACAATATAAATTTTAGTTTTCGAATAGTTATGTGAAAGATCTGATCTCGTGATAAGAATTTTTTTTACCAAATTTTATGGGTGTATATTAATTTATTTTTAACTAAAATATGTTTCAAAAAATGTTTATTAACACCATAAGATAAGTTAGGTTTTAACTCGTCTGGAAATATCTCACTGCTGGATATGTTTGTGAACTTAGTCAAAAATTATTTAGTAAAATTATTTTGTTTAAACATATGTCCATAAACTTGATGTTTCTTCATGTAAAAAAAGGAAACATTTAACTCAGGTCAATATTGGACAGAACTGAATATAAATTATATAATTTATTGAAATTATATTAATCATTAATTATATGAATCATTTTTGTTTTCTATTAACAAATTAAATTGTATGTACATGATTACCATATTTATGAACACAAATGAGTGTAAGTGAATTTCATTAAAATTATTTCATGCATCTTTTCTCGTAAATGGATTTCTTCCTTTTGTAAAATCATGATGATATTTATTGAAATACATTTTGGCCCTTTATTCATATTAATATGTAAGTGAATCAATAATAGAACATCAATAAATTAATATTTAATTATAAAATTTACTATTTTCATTTTTTGTACCTTTTTAATTAGTTGTTGTTCGAATTCAAGTTGCATAATTTGAATAAAAATGATTTCACTATCGAATAGAATGAAACTAAGTTACTTCAGATTTGCATTATATAGCAACTAGAGCTTGAATAGTGTAACACTGATTTGTGGGCATAACAGTACAGTGTCAATTCCTGATTCTAGGTGCACAAGCATAGGTGTTAAAAAGTTGGGTTTTATAAAATAAACCTTTTTTTTTATGTTCACAGAATTTTTTGTGAATATTTAGTGCACGAGAAGAATATAATAGTCTTATGAGCAAAGCACATAGGATTATTATGCACAGTACCAGTGGAATAATGAAATAATTTTATTATGTTTTAAAAACATATTTTTATCTTGCTGCATTGTTTAAGTACAACGTTTTAGTTTGTCAGTTTGTCAAAAAATATATTCTGAAAAATTCAAATTATATATCGTTAGTTAACACAATGGAATTCATGAATAAACTGCAGTTTATTTAACGCCCATATTATTTCTTTCCATTGTTTAAAAGTTTCCATTACATAAAAATAGAAATAAAAAATGCTAAACAAATAATCTACTAAGTAAATAAAAAAATATAGGTATAGCTTCAATTGAAGATTTCTATCGATAGGTAATATCAGAATCTTTCCTAATATCTGAATATTCTTTTCAGAATTTATACTAATGTAAAATGTTTTTTTTTTTTTATAAATGTAGAACAAATAACACTACAAGATGATGTTTCATCAAGCAGTGATGATAGCTTTGAAGACGATTGTTCTGCAGAAGCTATAATGCCACAAGTCCGTACTTTTACATTTAATGATTCAAATCTTGCTGAATGGGAGAAGTATACAAAGGTATGTATTAGTTGGGCTTTTACTCTAGTTTAGACCACTTTTAAAGTGTTGATATAACAATAAGATTTTAACTTGCAAATTATATCATCTTAATTTTAATTAATAAAAATTTAATTAATAAATAAAACAATATAAAATCTATATTTTAAAATAGCAAAGTTTTAATGGTCGTTCTTATTCGATCGACTAGTTTGATTACAAATTTATTTATTTTTATTTTTGTTAGTTCGTGAATATTGTTTGTTAAGAACTGTTTATTCTATTCTTATTATATGAAATTTTTGGCAGAATTAGTCGCATATTTTTATATTCAAAGAAATAAAACTTGTCAACTAGATTTCCCCCTATTGGGTACTGTAAAATACTGATACTTTTTATTAATTTTCATTTTTATATTCATTGTATCTGTAGAAATATCAGCCTGATAATTGATTGCAATCCTTAGTAATTTAAGTCATAAATATGTATGTATTGGGACCAGACTAGCAACAGTAATATAAGTAAATCAAAACGATTATTTAATCTTAAAATGAAAACCAGCTATGTACATTTTATTATAAATAGAATAGTCGATTTCACAATTACTGACCATAAAAGTTTGTTTCGACTGCCAATTTTATATTTTTCCGGCGTTTCAAGTCGTTGTGTATGATTTGGGACCAAAATCGGAAATCGTATTGTGTGTTTCTGTATGTGTATAAACCGAAATTTGACCTTTTTTGACTTTTTCTCTGTACTATATGAAATTTATCTCTGAATTTTAAAACCGTTTGAAAGATATCAGCCGGCAGTCGTTCTGATTAGTTATCGACCAGAATGTTTCTTCTTAATTGTTAATTAAAAATGTTAATTTAATTTTGAGTTTGAAATATGTGTTTTAGTTATATTTTTTATGGTTTAAAATCGAACGGTCTAAAATAATAGTACTTCGACAAGTTATATAGTATAAACTAGCGTGCGTTTGTGCATTAATACACTTGCAGATATTAAAAGTTTGTTTGAAAGATATCAATTCAAAATTTTATTTAAATAGCTAAATCTTAATTCTTATTTTGTTAATTATTCACACTCAAAGTCAATTTCACTTTTTTACACTGTACTATACAGTGAGTGTAAATCTATTCAACTAAGTGCAACTATTTTCCAATGTTTGTAAATCTACTAAAATTAGTATGAATTTACTACCATGAAAAGTTTGTAAATCTTCGCGCGTGAGTTTTAATGTCACCTAATTATTATATTGAATTGATTAATTTTAATTGATTGTTGTAGATATTTAAATGAGCCTAAAATAGGGCTTTAACCGCCTTATCTGCCCTTTTATACGGGCGACTTCGACCACCGAAGAAGCCCTCACATACTTAAGCAAAAATTAATAGTACGATCAATGTAACTAATACAAATGGTTAAAGTCATCGGCAACTGACTTTAAGTCATTTATTAAATCAGTTTGCCGAAGAAACGGCAAAATGGTGTATATTAACCTGAATTGCTCGTAAAAAATTTGGAAAAAGTGACACATGAATGATGAACAAATATTTTAATTATGTGCATTTTTTTTTTGTGAGAAATCTTTACCCTTCCTAAGGGGTCCAGGCCAATCTTTACCCTTCCTAAGGTTTTGGATATTCGCCATACTTTGGATGGCAAAATCAAAATAAGCTAATTATAAATTACTATATTATAATGTAATCTAAAAGATTTTTTTCGAAAAATTATACATAGGCTCATTTGATGTAGTATTCAACAAATATTCAAATTCAAATTTCGTGAACATTTTCTTCTTCATAAGTAGTGTATGGTTTACTTTGCTATTAATTGTTATTGGAATCAAAAAAACAAGAGGTGCAAGAGGTGCAAGAACTTGTTCAAATTTAAGTTTGCGTTCTAAGTTTATAATTTTATTTTAATTTAAAATTTCAGGGCATCGGGTCTAAATTAATGCTTGCCATGGGTTACAAAATGGGCAAGGGATTAGGTAAACAAAGTGAAGGGCGAGTGGAACCTGTACCTGTACAAATTTTGCCCTCCAGAATGAGTTTAGATCACTGTATGAAAATGCGTGAAGATGCAGGAGGGGATGAAAATCTTTTTAGTGTAAGTATCAACCCATTTAATCATTTTTTATATCTATTTATTTTATAATTTTTATATAATTTATTATACAACTTTTATTTGTTAAAGTATTTTACACTTGATATTTATAACGACACATAATATTTGGTAGTATATATAAATATATATATTGCTGAATTTTTGCAGTTTGATGTAACTGGATAAGGACTTCAGTACGACGAATTGATTTTAACAAATTCGAAAGATATTGGTTGAGAATCGCGCTGATTAGTTTTTATTTTAGTAAAGGTCTGTCGAGCCATTTCTTTGTAATTATTTTTTGAATTTTGTTTGGCTATTTTGCTGAAACTTTGCATGAAGATGTTGAATTATAGAAATTGATCGATATCGTCGGGCGCTTAAGCGATTCTAATCAGAATACTATGTCGAAGCTTATGTGTACATATTTAAAAAACGAAATGGACGAAATTAATTTGATTTATACAATTGCAGTTGATTTTGTATGCTTATAAATTTATATACACAAATAATTACCAAGTAAAAATTACAATTAAACAAATTTATAATCACAAATGCTATATTTAAATATTCTCTTTCTATTCTATATTCTCTTGTCCTTATAGTTAGAATATTGTTTATATGTATTTTCTAGCTCACAGTTACTTTAAATGGAATTGATTTTTTTGTTTATAGATAAATCGACATATAAAAAAAATTAGAAAGAAGCTAGTGAATCAAAATGTTAAAAATGATTTCAATCACATAAGGAAAAATGATGTTTTTGGTCTGATAAACGAAATGTTCTCTAATAAAACGACAAATAAACCCCAACACCGACAAATTCTGATATCTAGCTCTAGCAAAGAACTGAATGTGAGTAGTTTTCAACTGGGAGAAAATATTAAGAAAACTAAGAAAGATATTTTAAAATATGAGGAATCTTTAAAACGACAAAAATCAAAATCAACATCTTATAAAGAAATATATCAGAAACTAGAAGCAAAAAGGTTAGAGTTACAAAAACTTAAAAATGATGAAAATGCAGTGTCTGAAGAGCAACAAAAAAGAAAAAATAAATCTAAGTTAGATATATTCTAATATAATCTAATTTATTCTAGACTTATTATAAATAATTTTGAAATATTATAATAAGATAAATTAAATTCTGTAATACTATATTGAAAAGTAACATTATAATTAAAACTTTAATTTACTTTTCCTACTTATTTCACAAAGCGCTTTGCACATTTTGTCACTTTCAATAGTTTCAATTGTTACAATCGCTTATCATATTTATCAACATGAAAGTTTTAACTTCCCGTAGGGTAAGTTATAGTAATCGCAAAAAAATTGAAAATGAAAATTTTGAAAATGGATGTGTGTGTGTGTGTGTGTGCGGATACAAAATTTTGTCGACGATTTCGGGAACACGGTTCAACCGATTTCGATTATACAAAAAACATTCGATTGCTGTTGATAAGGAGACGTACTGATTAGTTTTTGGCATAAGCAGGTGCAACCGTTTCGAAGATATGGGGACGGAGCGTCCGATTTTAATAATTCAAAAAACATTTTACTTGTATTGATAAGATACAGAATTGGTCAAATTTTAACGAAGGCAGGTTTAGCTGTTTTGGAGATCTAGTGAAAAGGGTAAAAAAAATGCCATTTGGCAATCAAAAATGATCATTAGACATATGCACGTCAAATTATCAGATATTTTATAGAGATTTTAACATTAAGTATAAATTTAGTTTACATTCCTATCGATTCCGTACCAATGTTTATCCGTTAGACAGCGACGCGGCGCTTACGCGCTTCGATATTTTGTCTCTATGCAGTTAAAGTAGTACGATTGCTTTGAAAAAAAAATCAGAACTTCCAAAATATTCCAAAATAAAGAAAACATTTTTTTTCAGTCTTTTTTTTTTTGAAAAAAAGTAAAGTTTTGTCAAAAATTTATAGTTTCAGAATTTGTTGAAAGCGTTTTAGTTCTTTTTATTTTGAGACTACATTGGAAACACATGGAAAAAAGAAACCCCCTTCAAGAAGTGAGTATTTTAGGAATATTGTAGTTAACTGTGGTGCAATAAATATTTCGTATTACCACAAATTTACTGAAAATTAATTCTATTTTAGTTTAGTTCTTGTCTGAAAATGGTAAAATGGAACCTCTTAGCAGTCACAAGCGGCTAATCGAATGGTATTTGAAAGGTATAACAGGCATTTAGTGTACCCTTTTATTATTTTGCTGGTGGATTTTGATTTCATTATCTAAATTTTTGACATCTTAATAAATTATATTTATTCTATTTTTTTTTTTTTAATTTACTAACATATTTTTTACCTAATTGTTGATTCAATTATATATTTGTTTATTCATTTATATAAATTATTAATCAATATACTTTTTTATTCGGGCAGTTTCTATTTCCTTTTTTTTCATATTTCTATTTTTATTAATTCATTATTTTTTTTATCAACATTATTATTATTATTAGTTCATTCAATTTTTTACTGATATCTTTGTTTTCATAAGCTTCATTATTATGAGTATTTATACTTTTTGTCATTTATTAATATTTATATTTAACATTTTATTTAATTATTTTTATTTTGTACTTTCATTTTCATATTTAGTTTCATATTTTGAGTGTTATATTTGTATTTTTATTTATAAATTTCTCGTCCCAAAAAAGGCCCTTTCTAACACTTTTTTTTAAATAGCTGCCATTTTTTTCTTTCATTTTGGTAGGGGGACTGGATTCAAACTTCTTCTTCAACGTAGTTTCGTTTTTTTTTTCGTGGCACCGCAAAAGAGATCGATTTTGCAATGCCCACTTTGGCGCCACCTGGTTAACAAATGACGGTGACAAAAAAAATATAGAAAATTTCTTAATATTTCATGATTTTGTAATTTTTGTTTTAAAAAAACCGCATGTCTTTATGATAAATACATTTCGAGAAAAACAAAAACAAATCCCTTGCATTTTTTGTAACAAAAAAAAGAACAACCCCCTTAAAGAACTTAAAGATGATGAATTCCGCTCAGGCTTTCATCTGCTTGCTGATGATGCTTTTTTATGAGATGATGAACTCCTTCCAGACTTTGCTGCTGATGATAATGCTTTTCTATAATGATGAACTTCTTGTGGACTTTGCTGCTGCTGATAATGAACACCTTGCTGATATAATATATACGGTAAAAAGCAAAGTGCATAGTCTTTGGATGTGTGATATGAATATATGCGGTAAAAGCAAATGTGTATAGTCTTTGAATATGTGATAGATAAATTTTTTTCCCAAAATTTTTTTTTGCAAAATTTTTCCCCAACATTTTTTTCCAAAATTTTTTTTCAAAAATTTTTATCCCGATTTTTTTTCCAAAAAACTTTTTCCAAAATTTTTTACCCCAAAATTTGTTTCCAAAAAATTTTATTTTCCAAAATAAGATTTGAATATATACGGTAAAAAGCAAAGTGTACTATTTTGGTTTAAAAAACATTTATTTTCTATTGGTAGGGAGATGTGCTGATTAGTTTTTGTAATATTATTTCTATTATTCACCAATTTTATTTATTTTATCCATTAATTTCATCATCATTATTTGATTTTAAATTATCATCATAGGATTCAATGGAAATACTGTTCTTTACATTGTATTATATTTTATGCCTAATTCTTATCGAGTGTTGCTAGATGTTATATCTGATGATAAATTTGTAATTTTTTTGGTTTGGTATAAAGATTGTACTTTAGTCTACACAATTCATTCATTAAAATTATCAATTTCATTCAATAAGGGTCTTAAAATTGCATTTGAAAGTCATTTTGGCCAATTTTGGCTGCCCCTGAAAAACCAGTTTTGTATGGGAAAAATAGTAAAATTTGTAAAATTTTTAAATTACACCAAAGTAGGTTTATATATAATATAAATATAATATAATATGAATATAAAATATAATATAATATAAATATATATATATATATATATATATATATATATATATATATATATTTATATATCTGTCGATTTTTGTAACACTGACACTCAATAAATTTAATTATTTATCTATATGTCTTATTTATTTACAGAGTTAGAAAAATTAGTGAATTTAAATTTATTTTTCAGATAAATGGGGTTCAAACACACAAACCTCAAATTGTTATTCTGGCCGTATCTTTAAGACCTCGGCCATGCTCACTCAAAATAGCATATTCTTAGGAAACTTATATGTTTCAACTTATATGTTAAAATTAACACTTTATATTTTAATAAATAGAAAAGTTTCTTGTATAGCCAGTTGGCCGAGATCGTTAAGTTACCACTAAGGTTGCTCGATGTTTCTCGGTTCAAATCCCGAAGAGGCTTCAAAAATCAAATCTCTAGTTTTTCATAATTATCAAATAATAGTTCAAAATATTAAGTTCAGGTGGCGCATTTCGACCTTGACACTTAGAATATTTCTGAAAAAAAAAACTCAAGGTTCGCACTTGACTGTAAGAGAGAGATATAAAGAGAGAGATGACGAAGGTAGAGGAAGAATGGGGAAAAGAGAAGGGTGGAGGCAGGTGATGAATAAGAGAGATGGGTATGATATATATACTTTATTAAAATTCAATATTAATACATGATAAGAATATAAAAATAACTATTATCATCAATATATCAAATAGCCGAGTGGTTAAGGTGACCGCATACTCGGTGACATCACTCTGGAAGCACAAGGTGAGGTGGATCGAATCCAGCTGGAGACGACGACGACCAACTCTGAAGCAGAAAAAATGGAGCAGTGCTGGTGGCTGGCTGTTGGCAGACGCGCGAAGGTCCTGAAACATACACGCGAAGTGATGGTCAACCTGAGGTTCATGATGCGAGAGGTTACACACAGAGAGACACATTGCGGACGATGCATGCCGAACCCGAAGATCTTCAAAAAATACCACAACATGTGAAAAAACAACACCAAAAAAAGAAAAAAATACGAAAAAAAAAAGCGAAAAAAGGGGAAAGAAGGAGGAGGAAGAGGGAGAAGGGGGAGGTGGGAAGCCTAAAAAAAAACCCCTAATTCCCAGATGAAAATTTCTCTTTTCTGTTCAATGTTGAAACTTTTTTATGTTTTTTAGTGTTCCCTCACACCAATTCCCAAAGCCAACACTCGAATGAAATGAAGTCCACGTTGAAATTTTCACAACGAGAAAAAATTACTGGGACTTAGTTAAAATTTTTAACTTTGCCCCAATAAAATTTTCTCGTTATGAAATTTTCAATGTGGGTCTCATTCATTCGAATGTTGGCTTTGGGATAATATAGCATGCATAAATGACTCGTCTGTCTTAATCGAAAAGGTTTCACAAAATTTGGACTTAGAAAAAAAAAATTATCTGAAAGAACTTAGAAAAAAAAATTCTTTGAAAGAATTATTTAATTAATCGATAAAATGAAGTAATATTAATCGAATCAAAATTGTTTATATGACTTGATAAAACATGTGAAACCTTTACAATTAATCGAGACAAAAATAAATATGGTTGACTTGAATAATATACAAATTATTGGAAAAAGCCTTAAGAGAAATTCAATAAAATTTGTAAAATGAAATAATAAAAAAAGTTCAAAAACTTGAACATTAAAAACTTCAAAACTGTTTAAAGCTGATTGTTATCCTTTAAAAATTGAATCGAATAATAAACTCGTAAACAAATTTATGTTTTGTCTAATCATTCAAGTCAACTCTTCGAAACTTCGATTGAAAGTCTTGATCAAAATTGTTTTCAGTAATAAAAGAATAAAAATCTATCATTTAGCTATGCAGAAATATAATCGAATAAATTTAAAATAAAACCTACAGAAAAAGACTTTTAAAAGCTGCATTTAATTAACAATTTGTTAAGTTGTATTGAATATTTGAAATATTTTGATCAAAACCAACAATCGTATTTTCCATAAATTAGAATGTACATGCAGACAATGTCGCTACAGGGAAAACACATGATTCGTGATACTGAAAATGTAATTTAAAAATTGTTTCCGTGGAATAATAAACAAGAGGTGTAATAGAAAAGCAACAAAGTAAATTTGTAATTTGTAATTTGTAACAAAATACCATCAATTTAGGAGTTACCTAAGGTGGGGTGCTAGGACCCCTTCAACAAATAAGTAATCGATGCATACAAAAAACTGTATTGGTTAACTAATAATTTAGTAACAAAAATTTAATATAAATAATAATTCTGAATTCCATGCAAAATCTGCTATTCATAGAACAAAAAATTTGTGATTGACTATTTATGGAATTGTAATATAATAAATTACTTTCAATGTAATTGATACATACGAGAAGTACAAATTTTATTGTTTAATATTGATTTAGAACATGTATAAAAGGCACTTGTGTAAATAATTAAAAAAAGACTGAATCAACATGTTTTCCCCATAACAAATTATACTTTGGGATGATATAGCATGCAAAATTAACTCGTCTGTCTCAATCGAAAAGGTTTCACAAAAATTGGACTTGGAAAAAAAAATTATTTAATTAATTGATGAAATGAAATGATATTAATCGAATCAAAAATATTAATATATGACTTGATAAAACATGTGAAACCTTTACAATTAATTGAGGCAAAAACAAATGTAGTTGACTTGAATAATATACAAATTATTGAAAAAAAATCATAAATAAAATTCAATAAAACTTGTAAAATGAAATAATAAAAAATGTTCAAAAATTTGACTTCAAAATGATTCAAAGCTGATTGTTATCATTTAGAAATTGAGTTAAATAACTTTTACAACTTGAATTGAATAATAAACTTGTACACAAAATTATGATTTGTCTAATCATTCAAGTCAACTCTTCAAAACTTTGATTGCATGTCCTGATCAAAATTGTTTTTAGTAATAAAAGAATAAAAATCTATCATTTAGCTATGCAGCAATATAATTAAATAAATTTAAAATTAATAAAATAGAATAAAGGACTTTAAAAAGCTGCATTTAATTAACAATTTGGTAAGTCGTATTTGAGTATTTGAAATAATTTGATCAAAACCAACAATCGTATTTTCCATAAATAAGAATGTACATGCAGACAATGTCGCTACAGGGAAAACACATGATTATTGATACTAGAAATGTAATTTTAAAAATTGTTTCCGTAGAATAATGAACAAGAGGTGTTGTAAGAAATTTTTGTAACAAAGTAAATATTATATAAGGAGGGGTGCTAGGGCTACTTCAACGAACAAGTAATCAATGCATTCAAAAAGCTGTATTGGTTAACTAATAATTTGGTAACAAAAATTTGATATAAATAATAATTCTGAATTCCACACAAAATCTGCTATTCATAGAACAAAAAATTTGTGATTGACTTTGGAATTGTAATATAATAAATTACTTTCAATGTAATTGATACATACGAGAAGTACAAATTTTATTGTTTAACATTGATTTAGAACATATATAAAAGGCACTTGTATAAATAAATAAAAAAAGACTGAATCAACATGTTTTCCCCATAACAAATTAAATAAGACCTTACGTCTTTTACACATATATCTGCCAAATTAATTTAAAATCTTTTATTCGCATAATTATATTCGTTGAACAAAAAATAGATTGTATAAGGTATACTATGTAAAAATGATATTGATTCGAATATTATAATATAAACAATATTTTCAGCAGATATATGTATATAATTATATTAATAATGCAGGAGTCAGTAAATATTCCACTAAAATTTATACAGACTGCTTTATAAATGATATTGAATAACAAAGTGACAAGTTCTCATGGCACCTTCAAATTAATTTGCATTTATTAATTTCATTTAATATAAAAAAGCATTAAATACATAATTAATAAGAAATATTATTGGTACAAACATAAAAAGTAGTATGTAACACAAACTCGGTCAATAATTGTAAACTCCTTTCAGAACATAAATTATAAGTAATATCTTTTTATGAATTTCTATTGAAATTATAGTTTCACTAAAGATGACAAACAATATTGTATTGGAGTAAAGATTTTCAAAATCATTTGACTGCTTTAAATTCAAAATTAAGAAAAACTTAATTCAACATATATA